CATCCAAATCCCTAGAACAAAACCTAAGCTAACATAATGAAGAACGACATGGAAAACAAGGTAAAATAAGAAAAAAAAAACAAGATTAAATAAATAAACTAATTAATCTACTCAAATCAACAAACAAATAGCAAAAAATAAGAATTAAGCAAAGAAATAAAGATGAGAGAAAGTTAGAAAATTCTCATTGAATTGATGAGAAGAAGTTCCACAAAGTTGCTTCTTCAACCTCTCAAAAACTCCATGGAAACCCAAGCTTTCTCTCTCTACACTACTCCTAAACTAACCCTAAGAGAGAGAAAAAAAAATTAAGCTAAACTAATCTAATCCATCTAAAATAAAGTGTTGATTCAAAAGTTAGAAAATAACTCCAAAGGGGGTATTTATAATGCAAGTTAAATAAAAATTAAATAAAAGAAATTAAAAAGAAAAATAAAACTAAATAAAACAATTAAAACAATTAAAATAACTCAACTGAAAACCAAAAAAAACAAAACTACAATAAAATATAATAAAAGAAAATGAAAATGAAAAGGAAAAGAAAACCCCAAAACGCCCTAAAATTCCCACAATTCCCACCAAACCCCATGAATCATCGGACCTCCTTTCCCCCTTCACTTTCGAATTTGGCTGCTCCAATTCAAACACCCATTCACGCATCATCATGACCGTTCATACTCCATCATCATCAGCAATTATCACTCAATCACCACCGTTCATCAACCACAATCATCTAGCATCACCAGATTCTCGGCCTTTGGATTAATTTAAGAAATCGTGGCCGTCCAATTTTCATAAAAATCACGTGAAAAGCTCGTGATTGACCCAAAATTGCGCGCCCTCACAGTAGTCGCGCATAACTTACTGCTTACAATCTGTTTTGGAGTCTAATTTGCGCGCCTTCTCACAGGGCTGCGCGGCCGCGAATTGGCTTGGTTGTGAGTTTGGGTGTTGGGCGAATTGCAGCTGCAATTGTTGTTGTTTTGGTGGCTGACACTGGTCTATTGGAGGTGAGTTCGGTGGTGTATTGGTTGTTGGGGGGGTGTTGGCTATAGTAATTGTTGCGGGGTGGTTTTTGGTGGTAGATTGAAGACGAATTGAAGGTGGTAATTGCTGGCGGTTTTGGTGGCGAAATGGAAGGTGTGGCTAGGTTGTGTGGTATTGGTGGGTGATGGTGGTGGTGCGTCTGTTTCTATTGGTGTTGGTGTTGTTGGGGAAAAGCAGGGAGCAGGGTAGTAGGTTGATGGTGGAGGTTCGCAGGTGGTTGCGGTTTTGTGTGGTGGAAGTGGTGGAATAGGGGAGAATTGATGTGGTTGTGATAGGTGGATGCTGGTGGCTGTGCGTCTGTTGGTGTTGGGTGGATGTGGTTGGGATGGTGGTGCGCTGGTGAATGTGCGGCTAGAGGTGGTTATTGGGGTGGTGTAGGATAGTTAAGGGTGTGGTGAAGGTTTAGGTGGCAGCAACTATGATGGCTTGGAAGGTTTTGAATTGTGAAATTTGACACATGACTCAATTCCGAACACTAAACTTGATTTGAACATGAAAACGGAGCATCAACCTAAACACACCTACAACCAAAAACAATCACGCGGGTAGATTGACATATAAAATAGAATAAGATAAAGATAAAATAAAATAAAAAAAACTAAAAAAAATAAAATCAAAAGAAATTAAATAAAATAAAATAAAGAAAACAAATATGAAAATAAAATAATATAAAAAAATGAGATAAACTAGGAATTATTAACTAAAAATACGAAAATAAACTAAAAACTATTAAAAACTACTAAAATACTCAAAATAAAGATAGAAGACGAGAATAAGCAAATAAAAGAAATAAAGAACAAAATGGGCTAAATTATTGTATAATAAGCCGGAAAGAGACTCAATAAACACCCTAAAAGTGACATAAAAGGCACTTATCACAAAGATTCATCGTTTTGGCTATAGGGGACCAAATACTCATCACAAGAGTTTGGAGAATGAAAAGGTGAAGAGGTTTGAGGATCATGAGTAGAATAAGAGCCACAACCTAAGGTAGAATCATCATCATTATCAACATGAGAATTTTAATTAAATAGGGGAGTGGGGCACAATCAATCATATGAGATTTGTCAACTTGAGCACGCACCTCATTATCATGAACAAAAGAGGAAATAGAATTGGAAGCATTTGTTCTAGTTCAACTATATATGGGATCATGTGACACATCATGGGAAATCATGATAGTATTAGGAGAATTAACACATTGCACATCAAAATTAGAAACATGATTACCCCTATTATGAACATTCCAAGCAAACCAAACATAAAAAATCCCAAGCATCATCAATTGACAATGCTCTAAATCTACCATTATGCATGCATTCAACTTTATCCCTAATTTGTTCATTCAAACCAAAATAACAAATCTCACAAGCCTCCCAAAGACTACAACGATTATTGTCGAGAAATCCCTTAAGTATATTTGAAATATTCACAAAAAGGCTCATCATCATATTGAGGAAATAAGAGACATGCCAATTTTTACAAAGCAAACAAAAATCAAATAAAAGAAAAGTATATACAAAAACCTAGACTTAAGAAATCAAAAACACCCAAACATAGACACCGTTCCCCGGCAACGACGCCATTTTAACGAGGGGTGGAACTAGGTCGTTGAAACTAATCCTCCCTCGGTCAAACAAAATTTATAAACACTTAAAAAACCTATATACTAGTGTAGAGGAAAGTCAAGGGTAAAACTCAAAGGAACGGTAATGTTCAAGCGCTCTCAATTATGTGCCTAAGCTAGGTCGAACACAAATATAAAGAGAGAACACTAACAACTAACAAATAAAGAACTAGGAACAGGATCAACAAGCAATCATGACAATTGTAGCAACTCGGAAATACATGCAAGTCAATGGTTGTGAAGACTAATGGCAAGCTCAATCAAAAGAGTCAACAAGCTATCTCCTAGAGGTCAAACTAGCGTCAACTACGAGAGACTCTAACTAGGAGCATCACTAATAAAGCTCAATCGACAAATGTTAGCTACAAATTAGCAAATGTAAGTTACTAATCACTAGAGGTCAAATTAGCAAAAAAAAATAATATATTAGCTAACACAAAAATCATTGTAGCCAACAAATGAAACATATCAACTAACACATTAAACGTATAAGCCAACAAGTAAAACATATTAGCTAAGCATCCACACGAAAATTTGCGTGCGGGCATCAGCTCATAATATGCTCTCATCTAAAAATATGACTTTTAACACCAAACTTATAAGAGGACATCCGATGATCAATAATCACGATTGATAATGTTTACGTTAATACTATAAATTTTTAAATATAAAATATTAAAAGGCAGTGATTATACACCCCTAGTTCGTTCATGGTTAATCTATATTATTTTTTTTATACCGGAAGAAATCTAAAAGCGTCTCATTAATAAAAGATAGTCAAACACCATTTACAAACAATTACTTAGAATTATAAAAATTCAACAGTATTACATAACACCTTTAAAACTAATTGCGTCGTAGGTTTGATCAATAATTTCTTTATGAAAAAATTTTATTTGAAACAATACAATAGGTGAGTTAGCTCTAATTCGACTTATACTCCACTGATGCATAATCATTTGGGAAAATTACTCATGTGATCCTCTAAATAGTTATGGACCTTATGGTGATTATTAAACGGTTAATTTTCAATTCTAGTCGTCAGAGAACAAACTACTATAAGTAAAATAAATACAATAGATAAAACACCATCGAACTATTTTTTGGACTGTTAAGACTCTTTCCCATACACTAATTTTATAATAGTCAAATTTTTATTTATATGTAGCTGGCCACATGGTATGGCCAGTTATCATAGACATTACTTCGTTTGGGTAAAGGGGTTTCTTGGTCAGTGTTAAACGAATTAATTTGTCAATGTTATAGGGTTGCTTAGTCTGTGTTTTAGGAATCACTTGATCAATTTTATAAGAGATATTTGGTTCTTTTATAAGTGGTTATACGGTGTGACCAGCCACAAACAAGACTTTGTTATCGTAAATTTCTTATCTCAAGGAAACGAGAAATTTCAACATTGTTTTCCAATACAATTTCTCCTACATCACCTATCCCATTTCCATTAGAAATGAGTAAAAGCATGATATTATAGTCGTTATTCATTAGTCAAGTCTATCTAGAAAGTTTGCAATTGTGAATCAATCTATACTAATATATTAAAATGCGTTCCCAAAAACGTTGATGTGCCACATAATTCCTATTTTGTCGCGTAACGTTATCTTCCCAACATCTCATGATGTCACATCATCACACAAACAATGCCACATCACCTAAGCAACTAACATTACTCTATACCCCCTCCGTGTTTTTTTAAGTGATACATTTTTCATTTCCGTGTTTTTTTAAGTGATACATTTTCCATTTCCATGTTTTTTTAAGTGATACATTTCCTTTTTTGGCACAACAATGCATTACCCACCCAAACCCACTACTACTTTTTTATTATATCTTTCCTCTCACATTAATTACTTTTCAATAAACTATTAACCCCACTATCTTTCTTTAACAATTTTTTAATACTCCACTACCCCACTTATCTCTTATTTTATTTAAGTCAATTAAATTGTCTAAAACTATGTGCCGGTCAATATGTATCACTTAAAAAAACAAGGAGGGAGTATAAAAACATAAGGATTCTAACCCTCAACCTCCTATAACACATATAACTATTTAACCATCTATGCCAATATCAACTATGATATTTATATTGGGAAAAAAAATCATATTAGTTCAAACCACAAGGTTTAAAAAAAAAATTAAAAAATTATCGATTGTACCTCTACTATAGTAGCAACCCGGGACAACGTCTGGAATCACTCACTAGTTATTAATTAATCACTGCGAAATCAATGGTTGACATTGAAATGGGGAATGAGTCAAGGTGAAGAATGGAAGCTTCTTTAATAGTAATGGTCTTGTAATACAAGGCAAGCCTAATTTTCACGACCATTCTATTCTTTATAGTCACCTATCTCATAACTAACGCGTTTAAACTCGTCAACCGTGACATTTACAAGTGACCCAACAAGTTTTCTATTATTCCGATGCTATCATATTATGCCCAATAAAAGCTCATATAACTCATGTACTCTACCTCACAACTTCTAAATCATACCAACTATTTTCTCTATATTTACTCATATGGCTTTTCCGTCAAAATTTTCTTTGCTTTTCCTTTTTGCTGCCATCTTCGTCCAGAGTTCTCTAGGTATAAATCCTTTGAAGTGTTTTTTTAAATCCGATCACTTTTTTAATTATTTTATTTACATGAGCTTAAATAAACAAACTAAAGTACATGATTAAAAGAAAATAAACTACTGGTAGCTGTGGTAGCTAGGAAATGCTGGATATCTGATAACATTTGGTATATATACAACTTACTGTTCGTAATTTATTGTCACATTGATATTTGGTACGTGTTGAACTAGTATTGCTATGTGACAATTATATTTGAACAATTTATAAGCTTTACAATTATTTATTGGTACTAAATATGCAGGTTTTGATGATGCAATGGTTTTTTTGTATGTAGGAGAACTAATATGTGAAGAATTACCAAGCGATTTGTGTGTAATGGCAATCGCTTCATCGGGGAAGAGATGTGTGTTAGAAAAATATAGGAATGATGTAGAGGAGACAGAGTACCAATGCAGAACATCAGAAGTGGTGGTAGAAAGAATGTCGGAGCACATTGAGACTGATAAATGTGTTAAAGCTTGTGGAGTTGATAGAAAGATGGTTGGCATCTCATCTGATAACTTGCTTAAACCTCAATTCACTGCTAAACTTTGTTCTCCTTCTTGTTACAACAAATGCCCCAATGTTGTTGATCTCTACTTCAAATTGGCTGAAGGAGAAGGTAAAATCATTTCGAATGCATGGATGATCTTTAGAAAATTACAATTTTTTTTTAATTGTTTTGTCACTATTTCTCATTTATTCTAACTTTTTTTCCAAAAATATAAAAAATATATACATGTAAATTCTAAAATGTTATCGAATTTCGAAATATCAAGTTATTATATTTTTATTATTTCGAAAAATTAATATATTATTAATCATCAAAATTAATATAGTAATTAATGATTACAGATGGAGTATAAGAGCACCTTTAATAATAAGATAATTAACAAATTGGCTTGTTATGACACATAAGATTATAAACTAACATCTTTTGTAGCTAACTAGCCTTCTGACCCGTGCAATGCACGGGTTATTCATAAAAAATTGCATTGAAAGATGAATTAGGAGATATCAATAAGCCATTATGGTTATAATGTGTGATCAAAAATATGATTAAGAAATTTAATTTTTGGAATTGTAATTGAAAATGGGGATTAAATAAAGGTGGAGAGGTTAAAATTAAAGAGAGAAAAGCAAAAGGTTGAATTGAAGAGGGAAGATGAAGATGAAGTGTATATAGAAGATGAAGCATATAATTTTAATGAAAGAATTAAAGAAATATAGTGTAATAAAAAATTAATTAATAGTGTAAGAAGACATGTGGCATTAGGTTAGAGAAAAAGATATTGAAGTGTAATAGGATAGAGACATGTGTTTTCCTTTGTTATAGTTTTTAAATACTAAGTATAGATTTGTGCTCTAATAGTTAGCTAGTAGCTTGTATTTTAATTGAGCCTTAATTTTTTAATTAGCTTTTTACATTTAATTTTATTATTGTAATCAACCTATCTTTTGGCAAGTTTATTTCTCAAGCTAATTTGCTTGACCAAACTAGTTTAATTTTAAAGATCCAATAGTTAAGCTAATAGTTAGGGAATTTTCTAAATTGTAAGTACATCCTTAGCTACAACCATTGAAGTTGTTCTTATCTCTACTCTAGGCTTTTTTTCAATACAGAGTATTGATCATACTCAAATATGTGTGCATGGCATGATTACTTGCCTAGTTGCAACTCTCTGTTTTTCAAAATGGTTAAATTTGGCTCTAACTTTTAACAAAACATTTAAGTCAATGTGATATATGTCTCGTATAGTAATAATTTTAAATGTGGATCCTTGGTTTTTTTTTTTTAAAGCTAATATGGATCCATCATCCATCTCTATATTTTTAAAGTATTTAAAATCTCTAGTTTTAAAGCTTTCATCAGATTTGCATGAGGGTCGGCTATCAAATTTAAAGTTTTTTGACAAAATATAATTGTGAATTTGTAAAATTAAAGTTAAATTAGATATATTAACTCTGTACAATTTACGTAAATGGCTCAAAATAAAAGACTTAAAACTTAAGTATTTCACCATATTTTCAGGAGTATATTTGCCAGATTTATGTCAAAATCAAAAGAGTAACCATCGTCGCACCACGTTTGAGCTCATGAGCTCCGGAGCTGCACCTGGCCCTATTAACGGAAACCATGTTTCATCATCCCTCCATGCAGATGATCATATGGCTCTAGCACCTGCTCCCTTTTCCAGCTTTTTCTAAAAATATTTAATTTTGATGTCAAAAAATTGAATGAAGAAGCCAGAATATATATATTTGTACTGTCAATTTCATTGTTGTAAATTTCAATTTAGAGCGAAGAACCAATTATTTTGAGAGAGACATAAAGGGAGATGAGAATTTCATGGTTTTTATTTCTTCGAGAAAATTGTGAAAAAAGATCTTTTAAGTGGTCGACTTTTCGAAAAAGAACCGTTTAAGTGAAAACTTGTGAAAAAATATCGTTTAAGTTGCATTTTGTTTGTATGGGGTACTTGGGTGAACTTGTGCGGTGTTCAACGCCAGAGGTTCTTCAAGTTTCCAACACTCCTCAGTGTCGTGACCCTTTCCTTGGTGATATTTGCAGTGTTTATTAGGATCCTACTTAGGTGGCCTGGCTTCTGGAACCGGATCTTTAATAGGTCCTATGGGCATGACTAGTCCTTTGTGGTGTAGCTTTTCGAAGGTTGTCTCGTAACTCATACCAAGGGGAGTGATTACTCTTTTTGACATTTGGATTTGTTGTTAAGAAGTGGTCGTAGCATGTATTTCTTTAGTGGGAGAGGAAGAAAAATGATGGCCGTTCTTCTTTCCTTTCGCATTATCTACTTTCAAAAGATCGTCTTTGATGTTAATGCCTATATCATAGACAACATTGAAATTATTCAAGTTCTGTTGATATTTCAAGTGCTTTGAATACTTTTTTTGTAGGTTCTTGATGAACATCCTTACAGACTCTTTTTCAGTAGGAACTTCAACCATATTAGCAAAAGTTTACTTCCATTTGTTGAAGAAAGAGGTGAACCCTTCGTTTTCCTTTTGCTTTAGCTTCTCCAGTTGTCTATGGTAAGTTTCAACTTGAAAGTTGCACTTATATCTATCAATGAAAGCATTTATTATTCCATCCCAAGTAGAGGTCTTCTCTTTATCAAGAGAAAAGAACCAATGTTGAACTTAGGGATGTCACTGAAATTGAACTTTTGCGGAAGAAGTTCCTTGTCCACTAATACGTACCCCTTGTGAGCTAATGCCTTGGAATCTATAGTCATTGGAGAGTTTGCTTCGCTTTCTTGCATGAGCTCCATTTGTTGCTTCACAAGGTCATTAATTTGAAGGGCCATAGCCATCATCAATTCAGTCATGTTATCCACGTCCTTCCTAAGTTCGTTGACTTCTTTCTATGACCCCGTTATCTTCTTAGCTTTTCTCTTTTGTCGAATTGGTTTATCAAAAAGTAGTACTTGGATAAAAGTATTATCCTTGATTAACTCCCTTCTCTCCTTGACCAAGTGTTGTGAAAAGGGAAGTTAGGGATACTTTATTGACTATTTGACTCAAACTGTATTCAACATGCAATAGATGAGAAGAAATCATGGAAAAATGAGGGATCATAAGCATGGAAAAATCATGTAGAGAGTGGAAAAATGATATAAATGGAGATATATGGAAGAATTAGGAATAGAATGGACCCCTAACTCAAATGACGAAAAAATCGACTCATGCATGAACCTAACACATGGTCATGGTGTACAAAGTGTGTGAATACTTGTGAGTGTATATGATGTGTTCAAGACTCGTATTATGACCGTGTGACTAGACTATGTGACTAGAGTCAAACAACGACTAAGTTAAGACTTCACGTATGTGCACCAAACTGGACAGGTTGTAGTATTTTAGTCATAACTTTTGATCTGTGACTCTGAATTGACGAAACCAAAGCCAAATGAAAGATAAAACTCGGGGCTACAGATCCATAGGTTGTAAGATTCATAACTCTTTCTATAACTCCGGCTATGACCAAAAAAAGTTGACGTTTGTGCAGTATACGGGAATAAAAATCCGGGTTGACTCAAAGGAACTATGAATTGGTTTTGGACATATTTATTAGCTCAAATTAATTAATCAATTAATTAAGAAAATTCCTTTTGTCCTTGGTTTTTTTATTTAAGCATATTCATTATTACAAGTCAAATCAAACGGTTAGTTTAGTCACGTGAAAGTATGCAAAAGCAATTAATGCACAAATAGTCAAGTAGTCACAATATGATACAATGAGTTTGCAACCTAACCATGCCTCTAGTTCTCTAAAGTTAAAGGACAAAGGTTATTCAAAGAGGCTCCATGGTTATGAGTTCTGATGCACCGAGCGAAAGCCTTACCTTTGGAAGGGTTAGCACGAGTAAATGGGACACCGCGAGTTAAACTCGCTTCCACGGTTTGCTGAATTCAATAACTCGGATGTACACTTCGTTGCAAGGAGCGTTCGATTGGGTAGATGGAGCGTGAATCCCCAGAGGGTTATGACCATATGTAGAACACATATGGGTTCAAAAAAGAGGGAAAACTTAACCAGGAGGTAAAATCAAACAAACAGTACTAGAACTTGTCAAAACAAGAAGGTAGATTTCTGACTCGGAATTAGAAGAACTCGACATGAGACTACAGTTCCCGTTTCCAGAATATGACTTTGTCGCCACACGACAAAAACTGTCGCCACGCGATAGAGCCACCGCATTGCGATGGCATAGTTTTCTCAGTGCCAGTTCCTACATGCCTCAGCAACTTTATGATCTTGAAAATTTCAGTTTTTTTGCAACGTTATTTCGATTCTAGTTGTGAAAGATATTTCCCTAATTTCCTAAGTGTAAAAATCCTATGTTTTTTACGCATTACGGATGGTCTTTCTAATGCCGACCTGTTTTTTTTTCCTATGCCAATAATGTTAATCAAAATTACGCACATGAAATACTTAGAACTTTTCGAGTCTCATCCACTTATTCTAAATTATTGCAAAAATAAATTTCAAGAATTAAAATAGAAATCCTCCCGAGTGGAGTCGCCAAAAACTGTAGGGATAATTTTAAGCATCCCAAACTTGAGCCCCACTGTGATCATACACTTAAGTATGGTGGCATCCAAATGGAAGGAAGCTAAAGTAAAAGAGTCGCCAACAAGTTTTAGGAACTTGTAAACCGTTCAAAAGGTGAAGGTTTCACCCCTATACGATCCATGAGATCGCTAACTCCATAGTGGTCTGGAACCATGACTGGGTAGTTGGAGATGATGGTACAAATCCAACCAAAAAGAGATTGAAACTGCCCTAAAAAGAGGCCTCTATTTTATTCTTCTCGTATTCATGGGCGCTTTTTGACTAACAAGCAATCATTAGGTTAACCCTAAACCTGTTTAATCTATGATGATTAAATATTAATGCACAAACAAAACTATTATTGGCGACCACTTGAATTATAATCATATTAACCTAAACAAGATTATTAATTATCTTATTAAGTGTGATTACAAGTACAAATTCTTTTTAAACATGATTAAAAGGCTTAATCAAGCAATAATAATAATATATCAAGCAACATAACAACAATAATCATCATCATAATAATATAAATCTCCATCTCATGAAAGCATAATAATATTAATAGCAAGTTCCTAGGCATGAGACTAATAAGATTAATAACAATACCTAGCATGTCACTAAACCATAAAGATCAAAACTTTATCCCTAACATGATACTAACATGATAGAAGAAAAGAATAAGAAGCATCATAGAAACATAAATGATATTAGAAATTTAGTTATCACCCTAAACACGATACTAGAAAACAATAAAAGCATCCGAACATGATACTAGGAATCAAAATAATCAAAGCTTGAGAATAACAATTAAACTACTTACTTGGATGCCTCGTATCTCTGTCTTTCACGTTTAGGGCGAAGGCAACTTCGAACTTAGCTAGGTGTGTCTAGATTTAATGTTGTAGAATTTTGTGAGAGGGGAGGTTTAGAAAAATAATAGAGAGAGAATATACTTTAGTTTTTAGAGAGAGAATAAACTTTAGCTTTTAGAGAGAGAGAATAGAGATTGTTGGTTATTGTTGATGAATAAAAACGAGGAGATATGACCCCTATTTATAGAAAAATATTTCAAAAACGATAGAAAATACTTCAAGTTCTATACGGAATAAAACTGGGCATATGTCGTCAGGCGACATACGTTAGCGCCAGGCGATAGACTTTGTCATCTGGCGACAGACACTGTCGTCTCGGCGACAGACTCTATCGTTTCGCGCTAATTAAAAGATAAAACGCGCTTTGTACAAAATCCTTTTCTTAATATGGTTAAGTAGCAAATTTTGTGTTTATCAAATTAAAATTGGATTTATCATAAAACATTTATTTTATTCCAAGTAAAACTCTTTAAAATATAATTATCAATCCTAATACTATTAGAATTTAAAAGAACCTTCTAGATTATTCTAGAATATTAAAAGTCAATCCTAATAACTTTAGGAATAATAATTAATAGACCCTCCTCTAGATCATTGGGCCGCATATAAAATTAATTTCGGGTCCACATTAGTATTTTGGCCATAACTTGCTCATTATTCATCGGAATTGGGCTTATAATATATCGTTGGAAAGCTCTTCTCAAGCCTGATCCAACTACACTATTATTGGACACTTATAATGGACCAAACAAAAATGGACTAGATATTTTCATAAATAGATATATTTTCAGAAACAAAAAGAGAGATATTTTAATAAAAAAACAACCGCATCACTAGACTTTTCACACTTTCACTTTGTTTGATAATCAAATGACGTGAAAGGTATTCATCACTAGATTTGGTTTTTGGGAGACACATTTGGGTGTCTACACTATGTCAACTTTACGTCGCATAAATCTGAATCGTTTGAAAAGTTTAAAGAATTTCAGAGTGAAGTTGAAAATCATCTTCGCAAGAAAATCAAAGCCCTTCGATCGGATCAAGGTGGTTATACTTAAGCAAAGATTTCGATGATCGTCTGTAAGAAAAGGGTATACTTTCAAAATTGACACCTATAGGAACTCTACAATAGAACGGATTATCCGAAAGGAGAAAGCGAACTTTATTGGACATGGTACAATACACAATGGGTCTTAGTGATCTTCCTATCTCATTTTGGGGACATGCACTTATAACTGTGACACTAACACTGAACCGTGCTCCATCAAAAGCTGTAGAATAGACTCCTTACGAGCTATGGACGAAGAAACCTACTAGGTTGTCTTTTCTAAAGATGTGGGGATGCGAAGCATATGTCAAGAAATTAATATTTGAAAAACTTCACCCCAAATATGACAAGGTTTTCTATGTGGGCTACCCAAAAGAAACCAAAGGGTATTACTTCTACAATAAATCCGAGCATAAAGTGTTTGTTGCTCGACATAATGTCTTTTTTGAGAAGGAACACCTTTCCAAAATGACAAGTGGGAGGAAAATCGAACTAGACGAAAATTGAGAGGACGAGCAACAAAATCAAATTGACAATAAAAATGCTCAAACAGCATCTGTTGACCCTGGTCAAAATGTGCAAAGTCAAACCGACAATGTAAATGCTCAGTCCGTTACCCTGCATAGGTCGCTGATGAGTGCCATTTATGGCACTCATTTAGTTCCTTTTAGGTTGAATTTCATGTTATTCTATAGCCTTTTTACATAGCTTTTCCTTAATTTTACTATTTATATCTTTTAGTTTGCATTTTCTTTGTTGGATTTCTTTCTTTATGCATTTCTTGGTTTATTTTGTTATTTTCACTTTTATTTGCTTGTTTCCTTTATTTTTCAAGTTAAGGTCGTTATCCAAGTTTCCCGAGGCCTCTTTCCAAGTTTGTCATTGATTAGGATGTCTAATGTTCTCCATTTGAAGCTCAATCATGGAGAAGTGCAAGTTCCTAAGTCCTTGAGTTGCGCCTTTAAGTCGTGGGGGCATGATTTCTAGTGTTGAACCCGAAAACAAGGAGTTTAAAAACTGCAAGGTCCCGTGTTTATCAAGATCGTTAAGTGGAACGCACGAGGAGCATCGGCATGATAGGGAAGAAGGCTG